GTTAAACAGCAAAGACTAGATGAATACATTAACCAAAAAATAATAGAAGCTTTAAGAAGAAATATAACAAGAGACAAAAACAAATATATAATATATACAGATGGTACAGCAAACATGAAAGCCAAAGAAGATACAGTAACTGAAAATAGAATAGGCATAAGATAGGTCCAGACAAATGAAACACAAAAATGGCCAGAGAAAAAGATAACAATAGGCTTAGAAAGATAGCAAACATCGACAATAGCTGAGCTTGTAGTAATATGAGTAGCAATCTTAACGATACCAAAAGAAAAGCAAGTAGAAATATATACAGATAGTAATGCAGCAATAAGAAACATTAATAGAAGCCTAGAATAAGCAAACAGAAACAAGATTATTAAGAAAAAGAATGCAATATGGTTAATAAAAATCAGAGACCTTATTACAACAAAAAACATTCAGATAGAGTTAGTTAAAGTAAAGAGTCACAATAAAGATAAATGGAATAACAAAGCTAATAGCCTAGCAAAGAAAAGAGCAGTGAGCAAGAAAATAATACAGGTCAAAGAAGTTAGTTGTAAAGAAATAAAGTACTGCTTAAAGTGGAAAAACAAATGAACTAACATACTAGCAAGATTGTTATGTAAGCTAGTAACAAATGCAAGATTAGGAGCAGAATGAAGAGAAACAAAAGCAATTAAAGAATTGGAACCTGAAACAGAAGTTACAATTTATAATTGAATTTTTTTTGGAAAAGGCTAAAGATGACAAAAGAAGTATATTGTACAACAAGAAGAATTAATGCTAGAAGAAGTGTATTTATAAAATGTGTAATAGACAAACTTCTGACTCTAGAAGAACTCAACAGAAGAAGACCAGATATGTATATAATAACCGAATGCCAAGTGTGCAAAGATAAAGTCAAAGAAACACAGATGCATTTAGCAGCATGCAAAGGACTAAGAAGCTTATGAAAAAGAATACAAAAAGTAATAATCACAACAGCCTGGAAGGAACTTAATAAAGAGGAAAAAACCCAAGTCCCTCTATATATGTTATACATATCACTTTTTGGTAAAACAGAAATAGAAGAAGTAAGAATGAGAGAGGCTCTAATTAAAGGCCTAATTCCAAAAGAAACATAAAATAGACTATAGCAGCTCCTAAACAAAAAGTCAAGATAGCAGTTTGCAAATATAATAGCAAATATGGCCTGAATACATTTTACAAACAAGTATAGAGAGTCCAATGTAAAAAGATTATTGAATAGAAGAGGAAAGTAGAAATAACAGTTAAATTAAAAAGAGAAAAGGAAAAAAAGATGATAGGATTATGCAAAGGAAAAAAGGCAAATCAGCAAAAGATAAAAGAAAAGAAAGAAAGAACAAGAGAAAAAGAAGAACAAATTAGAACAAAAACACAAAAGACAATTTTGGAACTTATCATAGAAGGGAGAAGACTCTTCTATTATGGATTTTAAGTAGTTAGACAAGTAGCTTACTTCTGCTTGAAGTAATGCAGCAGGTTGCACTTAGGTACCTTTAAGGTAGTCAGGTGATGCTAAACTTAGATGTTAAGGATATTTATGTAATTGCAAATATAATTTTAAAATCTTAATAAAGTACTAGCATAACTGCTTAAGGAAAAAAAAAAATATATTGCATATAATTTAAAATAATTGCAATTATCAAAGAAAATTCTAATTTAATAATTTAACAATAACCATATTGCAATATCTTAATAAATCTTAATAATTTGTGAATTATTGTGAAATTATTAAAAATTAAAAATCAAAATACCTTCAGTTGATAGTGCAGATTCTAAAGAGTATGAGAGGTTATTACTTTCTAACTCCAATTCTGATAATTAATCTACAAAACTTTCTGATCTTTCTGGTAATTTTTCTTGAGTCTTTCCTTTAGCCTTCTTGGATTTATCTTTCTTAAAAATTTTCTTAGAACCTGCAAGCATATCTGAGAACATTTTCTAATATTTGTATATAAATTTAGTTATTATAAGTAAAAAATAGTTCTATTTCTATAATATATTAAAAATTATTTGCCTTATAATATCAAAAAAGTAAAACTTAAATAAATGTAAGTAAACTTAAAGCAAACAAAAACAAAATAAAAAAAAATTTAAAATAAAGAATATTTTAAAAAAAAAAAGTTAGTTAAAAGCAAATAACAGTTGATTAAAAATCCTTTAAATCTTTAATAGGTTTAAGTCTTCTAAAATATTTAAAAAGTTGTAAAGTTTATCAAAGTTGTTTTGAAGTTTGCACAGTTATGTGAAGTTATTTAAAGAGTTCTAAATAATGGCAATGTTATCTAATAAAAATATAAACAATGTTAAATCATTATCTATATAAATGTTGATCTGTAATCTTTTTTACAATATTAACTATTTAACCAATAAATTTTATATGTAATTTAATTGTTTTTCTTAAATAATATTGAATTTTGCTATTTACTATTAGTGGTGATCATCACCAGTGTCACAAAATATATGATTATGTGATCGGCATATGTACATCAAAACATGACTACAAACCAATCATATTTTAGGATCATGTGTAACATAATACAATCAGGATAAACCAAATGTTCACTTTGTCAAAACTCAAAAATCTAAAAAACCACTTTTGGTGCTCTAACAAAAAGTTTTTTTTGAGTAATTTTACTATTAGAGCTCTTCTAACCCTAATCGTAGCATAGACCCTAACCCTAATCTAAATAAAATTTTAAGAATTTTAATACCTAATTTTTTTCAGTATTGTCTTACCTATATACAGGGTTGACAATGAAGCTCAATAGAGCCCAATGAAGCTGCGAATGAAGCTAATGGAGCTCTGAATAGAGTCAATGGATACTAGTTTTTTGAGCTCTATTCACATAACCATTCAGCTTCATTGGCTCCATTGCCAACTCTGCCTACATGTGATTATTGTCAATAACAGAACACAATTTGGTGTAATATAACATGATCAGGAAACTTCAAGCCGAACATCTCTTTTGTCAAAAATCGCTTATTTCTCAAAAGTTTGCATAAGAAATCATCTTTTTTGAACTAACAAAAAATTTTTCTTAAATGATTTTACTATGCTCTAACCCTTATCTAACATAAATGATTTTTGTCATTGGTCACATGGGGTGAATTTTGATAGTGATACTGGGGAAGCTATATACATATAAGCACCAAATACATTAATACACTATATTAATCAATGCTCGTTTGTATACTTAATACTGTAACTTTATTATTAGAACACAAGTAACTTCAGCACATTAGTTAGTAGCTATAAATTAATTCTTAACACTGTTAACTATTGTAGTAATTGATATACAAAGTAATAATAGACATGATTTGACTATGTATATATAATTAATTCCAACCCATACAAACTATCATAGTTGACTATAAGCTGCCTATCACTATGGTAAATATCTAAAAATTGAAGCTTTTATACTTTAGCTTTGTAATTTTTATAACTTATGATATCCAAAAGACCACTTACCAATAGCAAATTTTCATTATACTGTCAGTACAATAACTAAAATGTAAGCATTAGTAAATAGCTGTAAATGCTATATAATTATTGAATCACGTATAACAAATAATAAATGGGTTGTCTGCCAAATAAGGGTATTAAATGAAGCTAAAGGTTAAACAATGACAAACAAATCATTATGTTCAAGAATTAGCCAGAATGCCCTGAAGTGATATGATATATACTATTATAACATTACTAAATACTGTTGCTACTACTTGCTATAATAGTGTATATCATATAACCTGCCACCCTGGCAAATTCTATATCAATAAAAAACACAATTAATAACAATTTGTCAGTAATCAATAATAAGATGTTCAATAACAAACATCAAATTCATAAATAAAAACCTCTAGATTTAACTACCAGCATATGATAATAACCACAAACGTCTAATTCTGACTCTAACCTTATCACTAACAATTCTCTTTGTTACCCATATCAAATTTATATTTTTTGCAATTACGAATATTATGGCCTTTGTTGGAGCAATATCCACATGTTTTAAAAACAGTATTCTCTGACTTATTAACAGATGTTGAATCTTTTTCAACAGCTGATTTAAGTTGGTTAGGAGGCCGCCCTCTTGGTTTATAATACTCTGGGTTAGAAATCTTAATAAGATTACCAAAGGTTGTCATATTCCTTGAGTAATAGTAGAAGATGCTAGTACGAGATTGGATATAGATTCTGTAACTTCATTAGTAGTAGATATAGATTTTGTAACTTTGGCAGTAAAGGACTCTTGTAGCATAATGTTTGGAAATGATGAAATGTCTTTTATATCCAGTCCTGTATCATGACAATGCTTCATAATAAATTGCATTAAAAGTCCAGTTAATTCTTCAGTGACACTCTCAGATACTGCGATTTGAATGCTAGTTTTGGCTACAGACATTGTAGTACCAAACTGAAACTTCTTATTAACTTGACTTCTAATGGCTAGTGTATAAACATCACAGGTTCTTACTTGGTTCATGTAATGCAATAGTATAGATGTAGTACTTTTTACACCTCTAGAAACTGTAACAAAATTTGTTATATCTGATATTGATGATTTAAACCAACGGGTATGTAAAAGTGATACATGAAATGTTGCATTATTAGATTGAATAAGCACACGATATTGGTGTCAACATAGCATTCCTTGATTTATGATGTTCATGCAAGTACAAAGTAATGTTGAGTCGTTAAGTATAACGATATAATGTGGCATTGAATCAGAAGCTATATATGATACCTCCCAAAGTTCTTTAATTGCATCGTAAGGTATATCAATCATGAGTTCAGCTAAATGAATTTGAGGTGTATCATATAATTGTTCAATTATATCGTTATAATTAACATCCCACTCTTTAACCTGATTAATTGAAATTAAGATTCCTTGATACAATAAAGCCTGTTTCATCTAAGCTCTTTGAAGAAATAATAAAATAGATGCCAAATTATCTCTTAATATAGAATCAACCTCTTTGAATATAGTGCTATAAGTCGACACAAGACTAACAGATGGATTAGACCCATAGTAATCCTTAATTCTAGTATACTGAGCTTCTTTCTCTAATTTTTGTTTAATTATATTAACTAATTTTTTTAGCAAGGTGCCACGATCAACATATTTTTTAATAACAGCATTAATAGATTCTACATGCTTTGTAGATTCTATTCCAGCTGTAAACACTTTCACCACAGAGTATCTTGCCCATGAAGTGCGCTTATGATAGAGCTTTTCAAGGTATGAATAACATGGCTCATACTTTGTTAACATATTATGATACTTTGTTTCAAATTGCTGTTGGCTATAACTAATTCGCATGCTAAAAAAATTCTCAACAAAACATTTTATCATCTTACCCTGGAGCTTGGCCCTTGCTTTTTTTTTAACATTCTTAATAAGATAATAGATATATAACATATGCCATGTCTGTGGATATAAAGTATGAACTGCAGCAATCATTGCTGGATCACCATCAGTGAATAACACTTTAGGCTGAAGATTATTAGATCCTTTTAATGTGCATTGTAAAATCCAATCATAATCGTTCTGAGTCTCATACTTTATTAATGCTTGAGCAATAATTCTTGTTTTAAAGTTGTTGTCGACACCAACAAATAAACTGAGTGCCATTTTATACCAGTTAGTTTTTGCCGTATTGTCATGAACTACAACATCATAAAACCTTATTTATAGATTGCACTGTTAGCTAGTTATCCAAAAAAGTCTAGTAAGTTTATTAGATGGTCCCTCAAGCTGTAGAATAACTAGATAATCTGGATCCTTATTACGTTGGTTTAAGAGATATGAAAGCATCATGCTTGCATCAGATTCATCATGTATTCTTACATCCCAAAACTTGTGAATTGCATTATACAAGTTCTTTTTGTTTATATAATATTTAGGGAACTCTTTAACAAGGAGGTCGTACTGTTGACCAGCATCCAAATGACTATGTGTAATGTAATGCTCAATCTTATCCAAGATATCTTGTGGAAGACGTAAGTTTTTTGGTGCTAATTCTATAGTTGCCAGATCACAACTATGATTATGTTTATTCTCAAATTTGGTAAGACATATTTTTTTCATAAGCTTTCCAAGGTAAAAACTAACTTCCCATTTGCAATTTGTTTTACCTGAACTACCATTATGGTGTAAAACAATATCTTCAATCTTTTTTGGTTGATGAACTCCAGCCTTCCAACAATTATAGGTGTGTCGATGAACAATAGACTTATCAAGTGGATCAAGATCCTTATGGCTTTTATTAGCCATGAAACCATTTTGCTTAGCAAATGAATTAACCATGACTTGAACTTCATCCCAATTGTTAAATAACTCCCCAACTTTCAATATCTTTTTACTAACATTTATGTTATGGTTATCAGTATCATTTTTATCTGTGTCGTCTTCACCATAACTAGGTAGGTGGTCATTCATATTGATTTCATAATCAAATAGTTGTTCCATTAGCTTCATAATTAAGAAGAGAGAACAAATCCATCAGTAGTGTAGTTTTATTAAAGAAATAAGTACACAGAAAAAGGAATAGTTATAGGTAAAGTAAAGAAAAATATACAAAGATGAGAATTCATATAGCTTGAATTCAGCTGTGAAATATTGAAATGTAGATCGTTATAGACATGACGCATTGCTATATAAAGTAAAAGTTATAGTTCAAGCTAAATAATAAGTAAAAGAGAGTATAGTTAAAGTAAAAAATAGACAAGCGAATATAAAATAATAGACAACATAAACTGTAAAAGATATTAATTAAAGTTAGTAATAAAGGATCACTATAATGCATATGTATATATCATGTTACACTTTGATACCGGTGATGATCACCAGTAGTAATTCATAGTAATTTTCAATAATATTTTCTAAAAATGTAATATTTTTTTTAATTTACTACATAATTTTAAAAATAAAAATATTAATGTAAACTCATTTAACACATTTATTTAATATCTACAAAATAAATTTTAGTATTTCTATATATCTGTATATATATTAATAATATGCAAAGTTAATTAATTTATTTGAAAAATATTTAACAATGAAAATAAATGAAATTTATTATTAAAAATGTAATAAAATATTAAAGAAATGAAATTAAATTAAAATAATTAAAGAACTAATAGAATACATTTAGTATATTAATAAAATAAATTATTTTATATAAATTAGAAGTAATTTCTTAATTTTAAATATAATCAAAACTTTTCACAATATTTTATATATATTTGAAAATATTCGCAAATTTTAAAAACTCTTGAAATCTAAAATCTTTTTTTAATTCCTTAAATATTTAAAAATGTTAAGCTTTGCATGTACTTGTTGCCTTTATACCTTTGCTACTAGAAATAGATTGAGTAAGCATATGACTAAGTATATTCGTAAAGTTAATGATGATGATAGCATTGTTTAGCAAACTTCTGAAAATATTTGCAACTATTCAAATATTTTTGAAGCATCTCAAACTGATCTTTTTGATTTTGAAGAAAAACAATTTGATAGTAGTTTTTCTGCTAAAAAAATTTCATTTAAAAATATTAATTTTCAAAATACTTTGAAATCTTCTAAAAATAATGCAAGTTCTTCTAATTTTTCTAATGAAAATATTATACTTGATAATTTAGAAGATATGAATTTAGAAGATATGTTCTTTGAATTAGCTGACAATACTAATACTTTAATTAATTTTGAAGTTGATCTTAATGCTAATATTCTTGATGAATTTG